TGGACTCCCACGTAGTCGACTGCGGTTCACGTCCCGGACCTGGTAGCTTAAAACTCACGCCGGGCGCGTGTGCGTGCGTGCCCATGATCCTGAGAGGAGAATGGAGGAGAAGGGATTGCGGCGTGACCATCCCCCCTGGAGGGTGATTTCTCACTTTCTGTCTCTATGTCTCTCTCTGTCTGTCTGGCAAGCACATGCGCCCTATAGTGAAAACCTCTCCAAAAAAAAAAAAAAAAAGCAACAGGACCATGGCATTTGAAAGAAAGTGGACAAATTGGAAGATTTACTGCTGAGTGAAACAAGCCAGGCAATGAAAGAGACATTGTATGTCTCCACTTAACATACAGCAAATGTCTGCACTGTATAGAGAAACTTAAAAGATTAGAGGATATAGAAACATAGAAAATAGTTGTGGATACTGGAGAGAGTGTGGGAGGAGGGTGGGAAATGATTGATGGTAAGAGGAAGGGAATCAAAGACTTTTTGGGAACACAGAAATGGAGGATTGTCTGTTGATAACATGTATATCTTTAACTGGACTAGTGTACAGTGTATTCATGCTAGGAAAATTCGTTTTATAAGTTGTGGTGATGTATGGTATTGAATATATTAAATAAACAAACAAACAACATTTCAAAAAAAGATGATCCAAAGAAAACTGCAGTCTGAAAACAGCCACTATTTATTAACTGACCAGATTCAAAATTAATCATGGTGGATACCTTAGTTTATTCTTCTAAGTCTGTTGATCTAATAAGTATGTTTTTCCCTATTGCCAACGACTTCACCTTCTACAAGATTGGTGATCTTTGTCTTCATTTCACCTCATGAAGAATATAATTTGAATGGTCACAGCAAGTTATTTGCTTCTTTGAAGTATTTTCCAGCAGTATAGATTTCATGAATCAGATCCTCCAATCATGATGCCAAACTTACCAAGAGATTGAACAATCAAAGAGTTATCTGTCAAAACAGTTTGCTTCTTATTAATTTTGCCATAACCATGCTGCTTTTTTTTTTCTCCTTTTTAATATTTTTTTTGGAGAGGTTTTTGCTATAGGGTGCGTGCACTTGCCAGAAAAAAGAGATAGAGAGACAGAAAGTGAGAAATCACCACCCAGGGGGGATGGCCACACAACAGTCCCTTCTCCTCCATTCTCCTCTTGGGATCTTGGGCACGTACACACATGCACCCATGGTGAGTTTAAGCTACTGGGTCCGGGACTCAAACCACAGTCGACTACATGGGAGTCCAGTGATACAGCCATTACGCTAACTGTTGGTCCCGACCACACTTCTTATTGATTTTGCCATAACCACATATTCCTCATGATAGCGCTTAGCTTTCTCATAAACTTTCTCCTTGCCTTTCTTTACTTTTTATACATTCAACCACTATCATTACAGCTTGTAAAACGTTATCATCAACAGATAATTTTCCATATTTGTATACCTTAAATGTTTTCAACTTTTGTGTCCCTTAAATGTTTTGTTTCTTTTTCTCTTGATTCCCTTCCTCCATGCCTCTCAGATCACCTTTTGAGTAAACTTCTTCCTCAGATGCTTGATCTTCGGCTCTGCAAAATTCCTTCACTTTTTCTTAAGGGTTTCTGGTATAGCAGGAACTTTTTTCTTGATGGCTTCCATGGCAGCATGAATCTTTTTCTTGGTTTCTGCCACACGGAAATCTTATTTTTCTTCTCTTCAATTGCCCTCCATGGTTCCAGCCAGAAAAGAGGAAAACTACCATATTAACAGATAATTTTATCAACATATAGAAACAGAGATAATCAGAATGAGAGCATAAAAAAAAAAAGGTAGAGTAAGACACTTCCAATGTCCACTAGATTTCCCTCTTCCTATCCCCTTACAAAGATTGAATTTGAAAATGAGCTTGAGTCACAATTCTCCAACTCTGTGCTGAGGTGTCCTAGGTGACTTAGTCATATCATAGGGATGCTACAGAATATTTTAAAGTTTGAAGGAAAAATAATAATACTTACTATCTGTCAGATACTATATGATCTAGCAGGTTGAGATAGTTCTCAATTTCAACATTTACATTCTGTTCAATTCCTTTTTGAGAATGTCATTTTTGTTTTTGCAAAGCTGGATTTTTAGCAGTTGCTGTTGTAATAAAATAATAGCTTCTCAAAAATCAGAGTGAAACAGGAAATGAGGTGCTAAGGAATGTGGTGAAAAAAAAGTTACTGAAATAAAAATACCATGAACTGAGAAAGTTTGGGAACCTCTGCACTAGATCAAGAGATCAAAATAAGAAAAGTGTTTATCAGAGCAGGCCACACCCGCTTCAATTAAAACATGGAAAGGATGAAAGCTCTTATCTTCCTGCAATCCCTAACATCAGATGAAAGGAGCTTAAGAAATGAAACCAGGATATATTTTAAAGTTGACATTTCAAATAGATTTGGGCTGTTTGTAACTGAAAGTGACCAGAAAATTATGCAGTTTGAAATATTGTAAAGAGAAAGATAAGACAGATTTAACTGAGTACAACTAAAATAAGTTAAATGGAGAGAAAATAAAATTCTTTCATAATACCATTCTCCTCAGTTGTGATACCTCAATTACAGTAAATAAGGACAGTTAACTTCTACTTGATGACCCTTGCAACAATTTAACTTTTATGCATTTATTTATTGAGCAGATATTTATAGAATGTCTGTTATGTGTTGAACATTTTACTAATCATACCATACTCAATGAGGATGTGAGGGCAATCTGCCTGCAACATCTGTCATACCACTGACTACCAGCTCTAGGGTTAATTTGACTGACCTGGTTGGCTAGGAGGGTATTCTTATCCTCTCTCACTCCCTTCTAAGCCTTGCCAGAAACTGCTTACACCATCGAAATAGCCTATGATCCTCTCTGATAGAGAAGGACACTTCTCTTGTCAGGGGTAAACAAATAGCTGCATTTCCTTGTTAGAACCTTCAAATAAGCCCTCAAGGAACAAAGGGAAAAGCCTGAATAGGATTGTGTTTAAAATAGCATACCTACTCCAATCATCATCTTTCCTACCATCCTGTCTCTAGTTTATTTTCCCAAAGAACTTACTATTCTCTGAAAGAAACTCATTTATTTACATGTTTTAGTGCATCTTCAGTACTAGAATGTACACACAAAGAGAACAAAGATTAATTACCTTGTATGTTCTCTATTTCTCAGCATTAGTATGCTCCTTAGACCTGTACTGGGCTCCCTTATATCTAAACTTTCTCTCATCCTTTAGATATAAATAGTATAGTGGTTGATTTTATACATTTTTTTCCCAGAATGCCATACTTATGCATCTGTCTACTTGAAACAGAGAGACTAATAGGTAACTGAAGCATTATATATATACACACATATATACTCCTCCTTCTCCTAGTCCCCTACCAGTGTACCTAACCCGGCTATACTTCGGTCTTCTCATATTTACTAAATGACATCCTCACTACCTAGATACTGGATAGTTGGTGGCTCAAGCCAAAAATTCATAATTTATCCTTGACTTCTTTTATCTTCAAGTTTCTATCAATTTCACTTTCCAAACATATTTGAATTCCAGTCTCTTCTCTCAGTCTACTTTTACTAAACTATTCTGGGCAATTATTTTTTTTGAGGAGGCTTATCCAGTAGTTCAACATGTTTTCCTGCTTCTACTCTATTTTTCACAGTGCAACCACTGAGAAATTTTTATATCTAAAATTTTATCATTCTCTCCTACACCTCCCTCCACCAAACACACACCTACTTTAAAAAAAAAAAATCTGTCAGTTTCCAGTTGCTCTTCAGATAATTAGAGCTCCAAACAAACCCAGAATTCTCCAGGTCTGGCTCTTCCTACTCTTATTATTTTGGTGTTTTTTTTTTTTCTTTTCTTTTCTTTTCTTTCCCAAAATGCTCCATGAAAGTAGAACTTTGGTGCACTGTATACTGCAACATCTCTCACATAGATCCAAATAGCAAATACAAAGATCAACAAGAGGCACCCTGCTTCTCTAGCCGGTAGAAGCTGAACCTAGAACAAAAACTTCTCTTTAGAATCCTTAAGGATGCTATAATAAAAAAGTAATTCCATTTACAAACCTACAGTTCCATATGTTCAAAACATGAGCCTATATCCCTGATCCTCTTGAGATGATTTCTGCCTCACTCATTTAGAATCTAGGCAAAACAGTGTATCAGAGTGTAGACACCAGGACAAATTACCAGAGATCAAATCCCAACTTCTCTGTTTATTAACTGGTTATTACCTCGTTTTACATCAATGCCCCCAAGTGTAAAATGGGAAGAGTACCTACATCTATACAAATACATATATGCATATATATATTACATATCTTGTATATATTTCATATTATACCATTCATAATTTGTTACGGTATCTTTCCCGAGAGGCCGACCCTGTAACAGGAACTACAGCAGTGGCCCAGGCTGTTACATGCCCGCTGATTGGTGGAAACAGAAGAGTTTGCCTTAACTTTTTTGACAGAGTACACCAAGTAGTCCAGCTGACATGGGCCCTACCGAGCAGACTAGAGAACTATATTTAGGCATTATCGTTCCAAACCCACCCAGAAGAACACGCCGCTCATTTCCACACTGGGTTTTCCTTCCCGTCCGCCACTCAAGATTCGCTTTCACAAGGTAGAGAATTAAGAACTCAGCCCGTGCAGCTCCGCGCTGACTAGCTCCCGCTCGCACATGCGCCGTAGTGAGCCCTCCACCCCTTGGGCCTCCTCACGTGGCTGAGGTTCTCTGTCTCTAACTGATATTTTTTAATCCTTGGCCTTCTCTTGGCCGTTATTGGCTTTTAATACCTTCGTATCTATCTGGAATGTGAATCAATCTCATTTTCTATAACTGTAGCACCTCGCCCTTCTGTCTGTGGAAACGGACCCGGGGAGGAACAGCTAGTCCGTGGAGCAGCTCTCGCGAGGAGACCATCTCTCGCGATACTTCCGTGTTCCCGGCATTCTTAGCGTGGGGAGAAAAGTACTCGTTTATTTTAGCTTCTGTTGATGCTGTAGTTTTGACGGAGGCTTCGTCCCTGTTGCTGTTTTTCCAAGGAAGATGGCGGCTCCCGAGCAACCGCTGCCGATCTCGAGAGGATGCCCGAGCTCCACTTCGCTTTCCCAGCTGCGGGGCGACAGAACCCTTTTGGTGAGGCACCTGCCAGCGGAGCTGACCGCCGAGGAGAAGGAAGACTTGCTGAAGTACTTCGGCGCGCAGTCGGTGCGCGTCCTGTCAGACAAGGGACGACTGGTAAGGGCGCGTCCCTCTAGTGTCGCCCCGGAAAGCCCTTGGGTGGTGACCCGGGGGACAGGATCGCTGACCGAAGGGAGACCCAAACGGGTCAGAAATATGCGTTCGTGGGGTGGGAGCTTCCTCCTCTTTTCTCTTGTACTTCAAAAATATCTTGCGTGTGAAGTAGAGTTTTAATTGACTCCGAATCTAGTCATAGTAGTGCGGAAACGGGCAAGTGGAAGAGCAAAGCAGAAAGCTGGAAAATAGTTATCATTACTTTTCGGACTCATCCTGAGACTCTTAAAAACAACTCTTTTGAACTTTTACAAATAAGTAACGAGATATTTCTTTTTTCTCTCTTTTAAAAATTCCTGGTTATTAATAAGCCAGTGTTAAAATATTCATCAAAATAGAGGAGAAACTATAATGGTCAATAAATTAAGTATATTAGATACAGGATTTCTACTAGATTTTTTACAAAGTCCTTTATAAAAGTTTTCCCACGGACTTTTTTTTTTTTTTTTTTTTGTGC